GTATTTTGTGATCAAAAATGGTGTTTAAAATGTTAAAATTGACCCAGTAGATAACTATTTTAGTTTTTGTAATTATAAAAGATTGCTGAAACAAAAATAGCCAAAGAACAATCTATTGTGTTATATAATTTTTTGTCAAAAGTAAAGGATTGTATAAAAGTTGTACTGAGTTATATGATGGTTTTAGAAAAATATCCAAATTATTAATATTTGATAAAGATGGTATAATTTTATTATAATCTTCATTAGTTTTCTTATCAATATTAATTTCTTCCTTGATGTCTTGATCAATATTATCACTTTGTTCAGAATTATTATCTTTACTTCAATTTGAATTACTATTATAATTGCTTTGATTAGAATTACTATCAAATTCATCTTATTTAAAATTATTCATTGGCAAATTATCTAGTTGCATTACTGGTAATTTTTTTGACTTGTGATATAAACTTCTATTTGTCACTAATTATTTATTAATATTAATTAAAAAAAAAATTCTTTAATATTTAAAGTGATAAACTACTTTAAATATCTTACTACATTTTTGAGACAGTGAATTATTTTTTACTGAAGATGATCTTGTTATATTTATCTTTGCAATATCAAAATCTATTTCATTCTAATTATCAAAAAAATTTATTTTATTTCTATAATCATTATTTAATTCTAAATAATAATTCAATATATTGAATGTTACAGAGTTTTGTTTTGCTAACGAAGTTAAAATAAGTTGAATAGGATTAGATAGTAAATTTGTTGATATATTGTGAGTATCTTTATTCTTCTGATACTATCAAGTTCTCTAAAATAAAAACTTACCATTTATCAGCAGGCATTTTGGACAAAGATATTTAGGTATTTCTTACGTATTGCAAAAAAAAAAGGTAAAAAAATATGTATTAAATTAATATTTGTTTTTAAAAATTTATTAAGAGGTAGATCACTCCTAAAGAGTATAAATTTTATATGCTGGTATAGCAGCAATCAATTATATCAAATGCACAAACCATTATTTTAATCTTATATTGAACCTAACACTATATTTAAAAAAAACAGGTTTTAATCTTCAAATTTTGACAAAATATAATCAATACTAATAGTGGCTTAAGTAAATTTCTTATTTATCATATAAACTAAAGTCTTTACTTAGTAAGACATGCAGATTCAGGTCAAAAAATTTTGAATCTTCTAATAATTGCGATATTAATACACTTAAAAAAATACACTTTTTCTTCTTTGGTTTATTCAACTAGACTCACAAGAATGCTAAATATTATTTAGTACTATAGCCAAACTTGATCTAAACTTGAGATTTTGATTACTAAAAGGATTTAGTCAATTATAAAATCAAGCTACCATATTGTACTAACCAAAGTATCTCACCTTTTATACAAAATATTTTGGTAAAAACATAAGGTCTCTATTAATTGAAGTAGATTTTTTTAAATTTCTAAGCTACTATTGTAAATGCAGGGTATATATGTACTTGAAATCTTTTTTTCTTGAGATACAGATTTTGTTCAAATTTTTTTGCAAGTTTTTTTCAGAATTTGTATTAGATTCCAGATTTTTTAGTCATGTACTACAATAACTATAACAAAGGCCAATTCAATGTTTAATTATATTGTATACAAAACTTTACAAAAAATTTTATTAAATCTTTTAAAATTAAAATCTTGCTTAACAACTTACCCACACACTTCTACTATCTCTCTATACTTTCTAATTTA